ATAAGGCCACAAAGAAAGAGGCATGTTGGCCTGGAGGAGGTTGGAGCGCGCCCCTTCCAAAATGGTGCGGACTTCACGCTCAACAACCGCTTTGGTGGAATGTTGATATTCAACAGAAGTCTGGTGCTTGAAACCAAGTTCTTCTATGGCATCCAGCATTTCTGGAGCGTTGTCGGTATACACTATGCCAACAATATCAGAAGTCTTCAGAAAATGTTTAAAAGCTTTCACAATGGAATCGGCTGTTTTGTTTTCTGAAGGATAAACACATCTGTATTGAGTATAAACATCTTTGATCACCAACATTGACGTTTGGCCTTCTATCCCTTCTTCAATATCCTTGGGAATAACATGGTCGCACACTATGTGGTCGCCAAACCCACGCGCCAAAACATGTTGTGATCCGCCTACGCTTCTACCGTAGGGAGCAAGCATTTTAGCTTCGCTACAAACATCGCAGTAGGGATTCTTTGGTCGATGTGTGAATTGATGCGCCCCTGATTTTGCTTCCTTTCGAAGTTGCTCTTCGGTCTTCTCCCCTGCTACGGGAACGTCTTCAAAATCAAAAGGAACCTCAACTTCTGGGTCACTGTCCTCTTCGTCCTCCTGTCCATCATCGGCATTGGCATCTACGCCAGCTTCGTCAGCCTCCTCTTGGTCTTCCTCGGGTTCGGACTCATGGCTGGCCATGGCGTAGCCCTGGTCGATGGTGAACTGGTGGATGGAATCGAGTACCTTAGTAAGGCGAGTCCTCAGTGATTCAGGAATTGAGAATGGGGTACATGTTTCATCAATATATGGAACCCTACCTTGCAATTTGAATTTAACGCATTGTCCATCAGGTCGAAGAAATATGGGAGTAGTGTCCTTTCCCCAAACAAAATCATATCCCTGTTCTAAGCACCTCAAACCAATTGAAAGTGCAGAGGGAGTACTTTGGAGAATGTAGGGGTTGAAGGATTCACATAACCCTGGCAAGATCACCTCTACTACTTCGTCAGCAGTGATAGGTCCATTGGCAGTAGTAAGGGAGATTGGTTCGTTGGATTTGAATATCTTGGTGGCCCTGTTGACTGTCTTAGAGTCCTTACCTACGATGTCCTGGTCAGTGCCAGTGTCACCCAGCCACTTCTCCATACCAACCATGTTTGGCATCGCTGTTAAGCGAGCGCATGACGGCACCTGTTCTCCGACGACTGTTCTGCACTTCGCGCAGCACAAATCATCGGGGCCTTCTGGGGAATGTTCACAAAGGAAATCACACGCAGGCTCCTCGGTATCCATCGAAACGAGCATCTGCCTAAGTGACTCCGCTGCCAAAATGGCGTCCTTAGTGTCACACTCGCGGGACTTTGGGCATTCCTCAGTGGTCCGGAACAGGTTCCGCTTCTTGCTCTTATTCACTACATGCCGGTACATTTCCTTCCAAACAGGAAAGGTGTGTACCTCCGGTTCTAATTCAAAACGAATTCTCTTCTCTTGCACAACACGGAAAATTGACTTTCCAGTCCAATCAAATTTCTGTTTCGCGTTTGGGTGTTTCTTCCAATTACCCTTGATTGTCCTACTCTTTCCCTTTGAGTCAGTGACTACCATGGTAAACTGGTCTTCCAACCTAGATGACTCAACTGGACAGGATTTACGTGTTGGGAGAAACGACCTGTGCCTAGGCTTCAAATGGTGCCTAATCAACTCATTGCCATCTTTGGAGAATTCCCAGTAGTCTTTACTCTTTTGGGTCCGAGTTGCGGTTGCTGCTAAGCAAGACATTGCGAAACCTGTTTGAATACATGGACTGGCCTTTGGACTTTTGTCCTTCTTTTCCCGTTTGCTCTTTTTGTCCCTTTTGTCCTTCTTGGATTTCTTGTCCTTAGACCTTTTAGCTGCGGGCGAGGGACTCCTTCTGCGCGGGGCTGGTGTTGCAGTGTCTCCGTGTTTAAACGGGCATTTGTCACCCCTTTTGCAGTTACCCTTTGCAAAGAACCTGCATGGCTTGTCAGATTTCCTCCCTCTACTGGAGCTTCTTGATGAGTTCCTTGAACTGGAGCGGGAAGTGTGTCTTGACGAACTTCGAGATCGGCTTGACCTGAACGATGAACGGCTGCTCGGACTTGCGCTACGCGAACGAGACGACTCCCGACTAAGGGAGCGGGGACGGGCGCTAGAGTCGTGTGAGTACTTGCATTTGCTCCCGTACTTACACTTACCAGTTTTGGCATACTCATAGCATTGATTGCTTCCGTCACCCTTTGTGCTTCGTTTGCCATAACTTGGGCTTCGCGTGCGCTTGTCGTGCGGTGCCGGGTTTGCGAACTTTGCCGCGTGTGATTGTGATATCTTTTCGCGATTGGTCCTGAGCCTTTCCCTGTCAAGGTAACGTCGAACAGAATTGATAAGAAATTCATAGCTTCTGTCGTTACTTCCCTCCGGCGCTCGTTCATAAACATCAAGGTCAAATCTGAGCTTGCGGGACTTCCTAACCTCTCTATAAAACAAATCCTTGAGAGTTGCCGGGTCTGGGACATGACTCATTCCGGTCAGAACACTCTCCCATTTTCTTAGAAAGGATTTCAAGTCGTCGCTATCAAGCGAGATCTTGAGGAGGTCCTCAGTGCCATACAGTGCACCCGCTTCTTCACTGGTCTTGAAGTGGACTTCAAACATGAGCAACACCTGACGACCACGGACGATCCTACCTTGCTGTGCCTCAGATTCCTTATAATTAAGGATCTGCCGAGACAGTTCACCTTTGGCAACCTTAGTTAAAGCAGCAAGTAGTTTCGTGTCTAAGGTCCGAAACTTGCCTGGGTCAGCCAATTCGGAACAAAGCTTGGCTTTGTCTTCACGAACAACGTACACCTCAAGCACCCATGCGAACGCAGCGTCTGGGTCATCGGACGCGGACCGTATCGCTTCGCGAACAGCGGCCCTCCAAGTGCGGTACCTATCAGGACTTGGGAATTCGGGAAGATCTATCTTATCAGCCTCCTTTGCCTTGGGTTTGTCAGAGTCTTTGCTCTTAGCGCCCTTAAACCCTTCTAGCAAGGCCTTCTTGATGATTTCCCCCAAATCTTGGTCTTGTGGAGTTCTTACCTGAGAAGCCGGCCCTTCGTCCTTGCGATCATCCTTAGTCTTTGTTGCTTCCTGATTAAAGGAGCTTTTGTACAAAGGATCATCACTGAAGTTATATTGTGCTGACTTCTTCATGTACTCCATCCACGGATCCGGTTGTTTGAATTGTTGCCTGTCCGTAGAGGCCGTTGCCTGTTCCGCTGCGGGCGCCCCTGTCCCTGAGAACATTGATGGGAATCCAGTGTTGCGCGTGGACGCTGTTGCATCCATAGCCGTCTTTATAGGGGATCCGCCTTCCTCACGGGGCTTACCGTCTAAGGTTGCTGGAACAGTGCCTTCCGTGCGTAGAGGTTCAAAAGATCGCGGTTGACCAATTGGGTGAGCGTCTTGTCGAGCAGAAGGTGAAAGTGGCTCAGGATATTGCGGCCCTGGCTTAACGGGGCTAGAGGATTGCGCCTTGCGCTCCGCTTCCTTGCGTTCCTCTTCCCTGTCTGTCAAGGACTGTACAACACGTCTGAGCTCGTCCATTTCACCCTTCAACATTGCATTGTCCTTGCGAAGCTCAACTATAGTTTGCTCTTGCGTTTCCCGATCAACCTTATATTGCTTATTTGTTGTCTCCATCTCATTGACAAGAGTTTTGATCTTTGCCTGTGCAATTGCTAACGAACTGTCCAGTTGTTCTCGCTTGAAGTCAAGCTCTATGGCGATCCGGGATTCTTCAGCAGACGAATGTCTTGCCTGATCCTTTGCCTCTAGAGCTGCCTTCAGCTTAGCCTCCTGTTGCTCAACATACTGGTGATGTTCAGTTCTCATTTTGTCAACAAAAGCATTGCCTTCTTCCGCCATGGCATTCTTTTCCTGTACAACTTTCTCATGAGCTGCTGTCGCCTGAGCTAGCCGCTGCTGAAAATGTTCCCTTTGCTCCTCCAATGTACCTTGCAACCGTTTGATTGCAACATTGTCTTGCTGTTGGACCATTTGCTGAACACTTTGTTCCTGCTGTTGGGCCCTTTGTTGAACATTCAACATTGCCTGCTCTGCGGCAGCCTTTGTTGCCGCTATAGATTCGGAAGCTTCTCTTTCGTAAATACTCCTGAAGCGCAATGCCTCGATTTCAGCTTCCCTCCTGGCTTGTTCGCTGAGCAAAAACTCATGTTGTTGTAACTCCCGTCGTAGTTCTTCGTCGTTTGGCGTTGCATTCAGGTTGACGACGTTGAGCCGAGTCATTGCCAACAAGTTGTTTACTGTTGGCGCACCAGCTACGGTGGCTGACGGCATACCTGCTAGGGTAACTTGTGTCGCCTCTTGAAGAGTAACACTACCACCACTATTTAGCATCTCTTGGTACACCTCCGAAGCAACCCTTGGATCCATTGCAGCCACTTGTGCAACCGCTTGTTCATGCCGTTGAACTGCATCCAAACTATTGGGCACACTCGGAACTATGTCAAAGCCACTTCCGTAGGAGTTTGGTGGGACGTCGTCATCCATCGGGTCCATAGCTCTAATCTAGCTAGCCTACGGCTGATAACCTGTATTTTACAGGATCAGCTCTAATAGTACTAACTACCTAGCTAACCCTGCTAGTCCGGTAAGCGCTACCTTTTGCTCTACCTTGAGAGTCAACGCTACGGGGTCCATGGGGATGAGGTGAATTTCAACAGTAACAAAGGGCATTACTACTAGAAACCGAAAGATGTACACTTGAGGCAGCTGCAGGTTCTCGGTCTGGCCACTGGCACGTTCCCCCAACATCCTTTAACTATAGAGCTTATAGATCCTTAGTGATCGAAAGCACTGTCAAGGGTCGCCAACTCATCCCTCCCTTCGCCTTACATGTGGTTTTCATTGCTTTCAATGCTGTTCCCCTCCCCGCTTCCCTTGACCCACTACGCCCCCCCCAAAACAAAAAGAGAACGAGCCACCAAACTCGCGTCCGCCGCGCCAGTCTGCGCTGCAGGGGGTGTAGGAGCTGTTGCAGGGGTGAGACGTTTGGTCCGTGTGAGCCGTAGGAAGAGACGTCCAAGTGGATCTCTTCGAAAGGCGCCTGGCCGTGGCCGTTCATGTGGAGATGGATCATGGCACCCAGGAGTCCAACAAATCCTGATGGACTCGTTGGGATTCTCGGTGGAAGCCGGTGCAAGCGCACCGTGCTCGACTGGTGGATGAATTCTGGAGTCTTCGACTGGATCCTCGAGGACACACATACACTGAAAACAGACGTCTGACAGGGAGCGCGCGCGAATCATGTCACATCGATTCCAAGAAGAATGCTCAGAATGCGGGTTATTCGACATCATGTTCCAAACATTTGAGCTCCACCATTCGCAGAGTCGGAAAGTCGGATGTCGGATGTCGAGTGGTAGACGGGACACCCCGAATCCCATACCCTCACTACGTAGGCGCTTTTCAATAGACACCCCAAATATCCAAAAATAACATAGACTAGACTATACCTTAAATATCCCCAAATCGGGTGGCACTGGAACATTGGACCCTTCAGCCACCAACCACGTCCCGTGCCACGTCCCGTGCCACCTGCGAATCCAAGTCGGTCAAGCGCTCGCGGACATCAAGCGCTCGCGAGGCGCCCATGATGTGGCCATAAGTCGCTGTGAATTCCAAGTGAGTCATGGATGGGTTCAGGAGTCGTCCTCAGAAAGAGTGGTGGGGGCGTGGAACATGCAGGACTTCACTGCTTCTTGCAAGATGTCGCATGCAAAAGCACCACGGGTGCAAATCTTGACATTGCCCATCTCACAAGAGTTCTTTGGTCGAATCTATGCATCATGCAGTGGTCGCTTCATTGTGTTGTATCGATTAGGTCGGTCTTCCATTTGTCTTCGTTGCTTTGGCCGATCGCCTGGATATTCGTGACATGCTGTGGGGGAGAGCGATGAAAAACCCACCGTGCAAAAGCTTTTTGAGAGTTCCTGCCCATTCCAGGGGTTGTGCTCAGAGCGGGCTGGACAACTTGCACATCAATCACTTGGAGACGAAGAATAAGGAAACAGCTCCGATGCTCCCAACTGGGATCCCTTCCAAAAGAGTACTCGAGAGAAGACCTGGACACAGCTTCGTGCGAAAACCAAGTTCCTCCCAGGCAGCTGCACGAAGTCTGTTTGTCTCCGCTGGGCAGGGCGAAATGGCCGTCCATCAGGTCGACCTGCACGCAGCCCACTTTGAACAAAGACTTGAGGCCACGGGGGGGGGGCGAAAGCTAGCGCTCCAGAATGGGAAAGTGGAGGGCAGCGAGGTAGGAAAAAACACGGCGCTCTTTTTGGAGGCAGGGGTGAAGAGTCCTTTATATGTGGTTCTTTGCCCGGATCCTCCTGCGAGAGAAGAGAGAGAAGAGAGACGGAAAGACGAGAGACAGAGAGGAGAGAGAGAGAGAGAGAGGAGAGAGAGATGAGAGAGATATGAAAGAGATGAGAAAGAGATGAGGGAGAGATGAGAGAGATGAGAGAGAGATGAGAGAGAGATGAGAGAGAGTTGAGAGATGAGAGAGAGATGAGAGAGATGAGAGAGACAGTGAGGATGAGAGAGAGAGAGAGTGAGAGTGAGAGTGAGAGTGAGAGTGAGAGTGAGCGAGTGCGGCCGCAAGATACGCAACGCTAACCACATGCCAAAGAGCGACGACAGGACGGAGTCGAACTTGCGAAGAGGGAGGAGGGAGGGAAGGTGGGAGGAAGACAAGGAGACAAGGAGACAAGGAGGAGGAGAGGAGAGGGGAGGTGGGGAGAGGGAGGGAGGGGGGGGGGGCTTCGACCTGAAAAATCAGGGGTTAGGATTTGCACCCGATCGAAAGAAACCTTGCTATCGCAAGAGTAACTCCAGCTAGCTTCGCTAGCTTTCGTGAAAAAGACGGGAGTGTGCGAAATCAAGAGTGAGACCCAATCAGTGTTTTGAGCTGTCCAACAACCATGCAATGTGCGAAATTGACCATGTGTCATCTGTTCTGAAGGATGTTCACTGATATTGGTCTGGCTTTGGTATATATTATATATATATCTGGGCACTACAAGGCACTACTAGATATACAGGTGCTCATGGGCACACACCAATAGACTAAACCATCTAAGTGAAGATATGTGAAAATCTACAGTATCAAAGTCACTCTTGCAGCACTCTTGCATGTTACCAGCATATGCCATCCTTGCAACCAAGTGGGATGAAGAGCACCTATCCATTTTGCTGCGGCTTTTGTTGTGTTTTTTAAAGGTGGGGCAAACCATTGGGGAAGTAGCATCCAGCATCCTACCATGTCTGGACCACTGCTCAAACGGATCCGCTGGGCACTCTTTTTCAATGGGTCCACACCCAACCAATCTCTTGTCTGATTTCACAGGGTGTAAACACTATAGGCTCTAGGGGCTTCTTCCAAAACCCACTGTTCTTGCAACATGGTGCAGATTGTTCCAAGTTAGCTCAGGTGAGTCTTATCCAAAAAGACGGAGGGGGCCAGATTGAGATGCTTTCCAGTGAGCTCGACAGTCTTGTGCACCACACGAGAGGCCCAAAAATCCACCTCTCGAGGTTCGACCCTTTTTCGACAACCTCTGTCTTGTCGATTTTAGGATATTTTAGGGTCAAACGATTCGAGAGCCTTCACCATTTGACTCTCGCAACATTCAAGCCGTTGTCGGGACATCAAGCCGTTGTCGGGACGAGAGCCTTCACCAAGCGAACCGCTTGGTCTCTCGAACCGCCACCTCGAGAACGTGCACAGGCGAAGAACGAAAACGACGATTAGCCGTGGATGATGATGGTTAGATAAAATCCTTTCTCTAAAATATAACTAGTGATATACATGTGATATACTTATTTACAGCTTATTTACACTGTTACAGATAAAGGGACAAGCCCAAACATTACATGGAGTGACTGTCACTGTCGCCACGGTCGCCACTGGCTTTTTCTGCCAGTCCAGCTGAGGTCACACGATCGATTGCAATCAATACCCCTCTTAGCAGGCGATTCACAGTAGTTGGAGTCCTCCTGCGGTCCATGGATTCCATGGATGCAAAACTGAAAAAGAAGTCTCAACCAGGAGACACAACGTGGTGCCGAACTTGGAGGATAGGGGTGCACAGAACATCCACTGCGCCTGGATGGGCTTTAAAGACCACCACTTTTTGTGACTCCTGGAACATGTCTCAACAAATCCATAGGATCATACAGTCCATGTATCATCCCATGTCCCCTCAGCTTCTCTTGGATCAAGCCTCAATCGGCAGATGTCTCAAGGACACTTTGCATTGAATCAAGTCTAGAGTTCATCGGGATTAGTGCTAGGCTGGTAGGCTCCTGGCGTGTCCACTTGCCAGGAACTGCTTTACACTATACAATTCAGCCTTGCTCCGTTCACTCACAGCGCAGACTCACCCAGTGGCTCTGGTTTCGGATCACCTTCTTTCGACTGAAGCAGCTTTTGCTCCATGGCTCCGCGTTTCTTCCCGAGCTTGTAAACGACCAGGGCCACCACTGCGGCCGCTACGATGGCCAGCACCACCAGAACCACCAGCACAATCACTAAAGCGTCGTCGCTCTCGGTCTGAGAAGGAGCAGGACACCACAGGAGCTCAGCCTTTTGGCTGTCGTAGTCCCAACGAGGAGTGAGATCGACATCGCAGTATGGTGCGTTGTTGGGAAAAAGCTTGTCAACGGGCTCCGCCATGCCATAGAGCTCTTTGTCAATGATGGCAGCCTTGTTCACTGCATGCATAATGACTTTCCGAAGGTTCAGGTCATCGGTGGGAGACTTGTTCGAGTTCATGACGATGATGCGGTTCATGATGGGTGGGCCCAGAAATGACTGCAGCTTTGCGGTATGAGTGGTCCGGATGGTGTCGAAGTCTGCCGGCTCAAGTACACCTCCACCCAGTACAGCATCAAGACTTTCGTCCAGAAGGGCGGCCATGACCTCTGAGTGACTGGAATACTTCTTCACGATGATCTTTTGAACCTGAGACCCAGTGACGGTGCCGTGCCTCTCAAACTGCACGTCCCCGTTGGGCTGGGTTTCCATGTATTTCCATGGTCCTGTCCCTGAAATGCCCCGGATGCCAGCACATGTGATGTCTTCTCCCAGCCCAGAAATGGTCCCCCAAGCTGCATGACACGAGTTTTCCGTCACTGGGCTCGTTGAAATGCCACTGGCAAACATCGTAGGGGAAAGCATTCGCAAAGGACGGATATATGTCAGCTCTTGCAACAAAGGGTAGTATGTGTCGCGCGTGGTTAGGACGAACTCATGGGATCCTGCACAACTCCATGTTCTCACTTGCTTTGGCAAGTCGTACCAACCATGCCAGCCAGGTGTGGTCAATGGTTTGGCAAGGACATGATCGAAGTTCAGCTTTGCAACTGTACAATTGAATTCGGGGCCATCGTGGAAGAAGACGTTTTGGGCCAGCATGAAGCGGTATTCCTGTCCACCATCAGGCAAATCAGTGATGGTCCATGACTCTGCAAGCGCTGGCTCAGGCACACCACCCGCTCCATAGTGCACGAGCCCCTCATAGACCCAGTTGTTGGAGAAGAATTCGTTGGGGCGGTACGTGTGGGGATCCAAACGGCCAATCGTGTCAAACAGCCCGGTCTGTGCCCCGGGTGCAACAGTGATGGTTGAGCTGCCAGAAAGAACTCGCAAAGTATGCACTGGATACTCAAATTGCTGTTGCCCCGGCACATAACCTGTCAAACGCTTGTTCAAGACTGTTGGGATGCGCTTCCCTGAAAAAGGCAGGTTAATGGCTTGCTCATGAACCCCGGACAAAATCTCTCTCCATTGCGCTTCCCTTAGCTGTAGGTCTTCCTGAAGCAGTACATTCGAAACCTTCGTATTGAGCTGCTCTTGCGTCAATGGTGGCTGCATCCCCTTTAACGCTGCACCATAGGGCTCATTCGGGGAATCGAAGGCAGCTGCATAGCTGTGGGGATCGTAGGGTGGCCCCCAAGTCTCAGAGAAGCAAAGGTTGAAGCTTCCGGCGGTCACGTTCGAGTTGAAGTCTTCCTTCGCGAGCAAGCGCGTGTTCACCTGAAAAAGGGGATGAATTCAAAACACAATCAGTTCAACATTTAAAAATTTAAAACCATGTGTTTGACAGACTGTGCTAAGGAGGCAGGTCCTGTATGTCCAAACACCAAGCTTCAGCCTCTATTTCCAAATACCTATTCGTTTCTTGCGCCGGCGTTCTAAATCGACTTTTCCAACTTCCGCCACACAAAGCTTCCTGCGTGTACGAATCGATGTATTTACTATATATATATATTAGTAGCCACAGATATATATATATATCATATTAACTATCATAATCAGAATTTAAAGTTATCACTTCTTGGGAGTTTACTCCTAAAATCTCCTGAATGTTACAAAACAGGCTCCTCGTCACTGCTGCTGTTAGGATTTGGGTCGACGCATTAAGAATGAATTGCTAGATGCCCATGTTTTCCACCAATGAAGAAAATCATGGTGACGAGTGACCATCGAACAGCCAGATTCTCCCTGCCAACCCTCCCGTTCATAATGATCTTCCCCTCTTTGTCAATGTGCCGCCACGGAGTCCACCACATATATAACTATGAACTGACCGAGACCAACTTTGAACAGTGTGCGAGCACAAAGCGACCTACCAGTCACGTTTCAGGACACAAATTATGTATGTATATGAGCTTACAGTGTATCATAGTGTATCCACACACGTCAATCCATGCATCAGTTTGAATAGGCAAAAAACGTGACAAGTCGGAAAAAAATAGACAAATAAAAAAACAGTGACACTCACTCGTCAGACATATATTTTTGATACCCTCAATCCCCAATCCCCCCCGAACACGTTCGGAAAAACGGACGCCAACGGAACGTTCCCGAACTCCACGGTGAGTGCGTCCGAGCCGTACGACCGGTGAGTCATTTGGGTGTGATGGATCCGCCCTGACCTGAATATTCAGCTTGGCAAGGTCTGAGCGCACATCATCTTCGATTGCTGCCAGCAATGCATCATCTGCCTGCACAATGAAGTCGAGAGTTACTGTTGGACAGGCAGCAAAGACTTCCCGGGAACCTTCGAGAAGGAAAAGTAGCTGCAAGAGTTGTTGCTGCATTCCAAATCAAAGGAGAGAATGTGCAATGAGCCTTGGAGCGAGCTTGAGCCAAAAACACTCAGATGAGCTGCTGAAGAGCAGTGTGAACGACTCAGGTTTTCTTTCGTTGTTTTGAAAGGATCCATCGCAATTCACCACCGATGCCCTTTGTTAATCCTGTCCACCTATGAAAAAACACGCCCTTCCCCCTAATAAGAGAAACTCGGTCGCATTTTTTTCTAATAGGGGGTCCCTGATATCGGGGGGTCCAAAATAGGGTCACCTGGGAAGATCTTCAAAGCCAAAAAGTCATCCAAACAAATTTTGTAATAAATCATTTATTAAACTCGTATCAAAAATTCAAAAAACCTTTATTAGAATAGTGATTCTTCATTAGACTAACAGCCAAAGCTTTCAAAAGGTGATGTCGCTGTGCCATGCGGTTTTGCACGAGCTCGGTGAAAGAAAGACCCTTCGATCTGGAGGTTTTTTGAATTTTTGATACGAGTTTAATAAATGCTTTATTACAAAATTTGTCTGGATGACTTTTTGGTTTTGAAGCTCTTCCCAGGTGACCCTATTTTGGACCCCCCGATATCAGGGACCCCCTATTAGAAAAAATGCGACCGAGTTTCTCTTATTAGGGGGAAGGGCGTGTTGTTTAATAGGTGGACAGTGGACAGGATGATTGAAACTGATCCAAACTCTACATATCTTCTAGCCCCAGTATTCTCAACTCCAATTCACCTCGCGCCCACCTGTCACATCGACGGCGATCGTCCAACCCTTCAGCGCCGCAGGACATCATCGACCTGTCAAAAGGGGTGTTTGGCGTCTGTCCAGAGGTTTCAGGAAGTCCCGGCATCAAATGTCACCACCCAGGACGTGTGTCATGTGTCATCATGTCTCATCAGTGCAAGGACTGTAGGAATTTCCGAAGGAATGACATGTCTGGATTTCAGCACAGTCTTCCCGTGCGCACGTGTTTTTCATGGGAAGCGAGCGGTCAAGCGATTTGCAGCACCGCAAATTCTTCCTGGAATCTTGTATCCAGTGCACTTGAAACCAATGTGTCGCACCTCCGGATGACTAAGTCATCCTCGGCTGCGTCGACCGCCCCGCGCCCGCGTCTGGCGAGGTCCATGCTTTCCATTGGCCAAGCGGCCGCTCAAAGGGGCCAAGGGCGGTTTCGCCACAGGAGCTGCAAAGTCCTCGGCCTTGGGTGGAGCTTGGCGGGAGTAGGGAGGGGCCCCAGGCAACTGCGACCAGCAATGCACACAGCTGTAGATGTCGGTGTACTTGGTTTCTTCGATCGTGTCATGATCGAAGCCGATGGTGTGAAGCTTCAAAATGAAGCGATGGTCCTTTTGATCCATCTTGCTCACTTGGAGATTTCCCAAGAAGCCTCCCACTTTTTGAAGCGTCTTGGGCACTCCACGAACCCACCTCCAACGGAGAAGGCCCAAGGACTTCGCCTTGATGTCGATCAAGAGTCCAGCCTGGACTTTCTTCACGATTTGCCCGTCATAGAACTTCCAGGCACAGGGCTCAATCACCTCCGGCTCTTTGCTTCGCCGGGAGCTCGGAGCCCCTGCCTGGAGCTCACGCACCTCTCGCAGCGCCAGGATGGCATCGGAATTGCCCTTGGGCTTCTGGTTCAGGAAGTGCCTCACCTCCGTGCAGGGAACAAATGGGAGTGGGAATGGAACGGTGAGAGATACACCTGGTTTCAACCATTTTTGCTTTAGCAAACATACCAGTAATATCTTAGATCTTCGTTATAGTTGCGCCTGTGATGGTCAATCTGATTGCATGCAAAAGAAATAAAACCATCACCCCTGGAACGACAGACTATTCCAAAGCTAGTGGCGGACTCACTCAGATTCTTCGGCCGGATGAGCACATTGTCGGAGACGATGTGATTGAAGAGCCGTTCTTCTGGCTCAGGTTGCTCCACTTCCTGCTGGAGCTGTGGGTGAAGAGGAATGAACGAAGCCAAATCCGCTTCGGAGATGGCCGCTCTTGGAACTGCCATGTTCCAGAACTCCTTGGTCTCACATGCTTGGAACTGGGCCAAGCAACTGTCCGAGACATTTTTGTAAGAAACTTTTTTGGTAATTTTTGGATGCGCAGAGGCCGGCTTCAAATCCTCTCGCTTCATCGCAATAATTGGGATCTATCCGAAGAAGGGTCCCCTTGACCGAAATGTTTGAGCCACTGGCTGCTGCAGGAAGAGGCACCTTGACATCGTTCCAACTTGCTGTCCATTCACATCCACAAAGCTACTAGCAAGGGCCTTACTACTAGTAACAAGGGCATTACTACTAGTAGCTAGAAGCTACTAGTAGCAAGGGCCTTCCTAGTAGTAACAAGGGCTCTACTACTAGTAGCTAGAAGCTACTAGAATAGAAGCAATGGCCATACCAGTAGTAACAAGGGCATTTTAAGCTACTAGTAGCAAGGGCCTTACTAGTAGTAACACGGGCATTACT